CCCACTCACACCTCTTCCAGCAGCAACCTTAGTTTTTCCCAGGAGGTCTCCTATCCAGGTACTGACTCATACCTGCTGAGCTTCAGTGGGTTGCCAGTTATGAGTTGCAGAGTGATATGGCTGCTGGCCATATTTTCCTCAGTGGTTTCCTTGGACAAATCTAATGATAGATGTTTAGTGCGTCACTATGTTTAGTTGATTCCTTGATTCTTCCAGATTATAAGTAGAGACGGAGCGTGACACTCAGGGATTTAGACGTTATAAGACTTTAGTGCTAATTCCCTTTCGGCTTCCCCTTGACTTGAAACTGGAAACTGTCTTTAAAAACCCTCCACAGTTCTGTCATCTCTTTCATGTGCCATTCATTTCTAGTCGTTTTTTTTTTTGTTCGTTTATAATTATTTTCCTGATTCCATTACACAACACACACACAAAAAAAAAAGATGCCGCGAATCTCTCATGGCACTGGTGTGTTTGTTTAGTTTAATTACAATCAGAAGATGAGGAGTGTGATTGTGCTGTCTTCTGTTGGAGGAAATCCTGGCAGCAGTCTTCAGACAGACACCCGGAGTCTCAAGTAAACAATTTACACTTCAGAGTGAGAAGACAGATTGTGCACGCCGCCGACTAAACAGGGAAGCTGGTGTGGTGTGTGGAGAAAACAAACCGCGGTACTGAGTCAAGACAGAGGAGGAATCGCTGCCTGTCTCTTTAAAGTCCCCTCCAGCGCCTGAAAAAAACTGAAAGCGTTGTACTAATGCCCAACAGTAATTCCTGACCACTCACATCACACGGCGCTTCAATCCCAGCCTCTAAATTAAAGACTCTTAATTAAATCAATAAACTAATTGCAGGAGTAGCAATTCAATTTCAGCACTTTGATTCCACAATGTTAACAAGTATTTTAAGAGGCTCGCTGACTCCATGCAGACACATTCAATCAATCCGGGGGCAGGCTTTGTAGTTCCAATTTTCATTAATTGATTAGTTAGGCCTTCATAAATGGATTATGACATTATTACGCGTCTCACGCTTGGGGAGTGCAATAAAATCTAAATGTGAAATAATAACAACAATAAAGAATGAACAAGATATCAGAGGGCAGCTGATATACTGCCACAGCCATAGTAAAAATCATTCAAGGAGAAAATGCTCTTAGGGTATTAAGGGACAAAGTAGAATCGAGGGAATGCTGAATGGGGAATACATACAGAGAAGGGCTTTGTGTTGCATTGCACTATTATCAGTATAGAATAATTCAGACACCTCTGTCTGCTGCTGCAGTATGTTTAGGCTGGTTGCCGGGTGGTTCGATGCAAGACACGGGGTTTCGGAAGAGCAGACAGGAAAGGAGTAGGGATGAAGACCCGAGAACACAAACACGAGCCACACCCTTTGCTTTCAGTGTAACGTTCCTCTTCCCCAAGTGAAAAAAGGCTTTGGTTTTGTCAGAGCAACAGACAGGGCTCATTTGGACCTCTCCTCTTTAAAGACAATGCGTGTGTAAAAATTCCACCCTGTTGTCAGTTTGTCGGATGGGGTCACTAGCAGCAGCAACAGGACACTGACTTTTTTTCTGCTCGGTTGGCATCATACTTTTGATTTTATCCTCCATCGTCCTGTTGTCTCCCATTTTAACAATTAAATTGTAAACATCTGTACCCAATTCTTTTTGTGTGTCTTTCTATAGCGTTTTTTTAGACTACCTGAGCCATCAAAGTCATATAGCACTTCCTGCTAAATTGTTAGTCCTTTAGAAAACAAAGGAAGGTGTTTCGCCCATTTTGGCTACTGATTTTGACCTACATTTTGGCTACTGATGTTTTATATGTTTCAACACCCCCCCCCCACACACGCACGCACGCACGCACGCACACACGCACACACACACACACCACAGAGCCCCCAGCTGGTGGCCGTTCACTCAAGTAAAAGGCCGGCCCCTGTCTTCTCTGTCCCCGCAGTTGTGCCCTCCAGCCCCACGATGGCGTCCTCCACCAGCCTGCCTTCCAACTGCAGCAGCTCCTCGGGGATCTTCTCCTTCTCCCCCGCCAACATGGTGTCGGCCGTCAAGCAGAAGAGCGCCTTCGCCCCCGTGGTGCGACCCCAGACCTCGCCCCCGCCGACGTGCACCAGCGCCAACGGGAACAGCCTGCAAGGTGAGCGCAGCCCCATGGGAAGACCCCTCTTACAACACACAGCCTCCCTGCGAATCTTACTGCACAACTTGTGCTTTTCGGGACTCGCATTGTGAGAAGTAGGCTTGATAACTTCACATATAAATGGCTTGATTTAAGTCAAGGAGACAAGCAGAACAAGTGCCTTATGCCTATTACAGTGTTGACCTTTGATTTGGGCCCTTTCTGGACTCAAGTTGTTTGTATAAGTGTATAAGTCCACCTGAAGGGTGAGAATCCACAATGCTTTGGTCAGCTTCCCATGATGGAGCATGATTATTAACTTAGTGCTGCAGAACGTACCAACACAATGAAAGCTCTCAGTGTGAGACTAAAGTAAACGAAAGCCCAAATGCATTCAGCTCAGTATCTGCAAGTGTAGCAAGAACATCTCTACTTGCCCCAGCCGGGATATGATCCCGAATGGTTGTGGGCTCCGAGCATGTCCAGCACTGGTCCCTAGACAGTGGATCACTCTGCCATGCTGAAGGACAGTATCCTATGCTGCAGCAGAGTTCTGCACTGTCTATATACCAGAGGGCGATGATGGGACTTCTGGAACTGGCTCGGGGCACTGAGCTCTTTTATACAACCAGATGATCAGAGCTTGTTCCTGGTAAACACAGGAAAAATAAAAAAAAAACGTATGAGGCAAGACTAACTCTTGCTTGTGTTTGATTGCTCTAACCTTCCTGTGCTCAGATCCTAACCCCCTTTTTTTTCCCCATTCATAAATAACACCATGTTTTTTCTCTCTTTCTCTCTCCTCTCCTGCCCTCTCCCCCCGTCCCCCGTCCGTCAGATCAGTCTTTTGTGGACTCTAGCAAGTACTCCACTGCCGGCTCTCTGCAGGGCCTGGCCTTCTCCTGAAGTACGTTACTAATTTTCATCCATTCCTCTTCCTGCCATTTCCCATTCCGGAAAATCGGTTCATCCTGGGATCTGCTGCCTTGGCCCTGGAGAGCCATATCATGTCTGATTTTATGCCCAGCTGAGTTTTGAGTGACTTCATTTGACAACTTGTTTCAGTGAGGCACTTCACCTGCTTCCTAGCTGTGTATATTTAACTGTTTTCAAAGTTGTCAGGCTATAGTGCTCCAACCCTAAGGCGGCAGACCTCCGGTCCAGAGCTGGAAAACAGCGGGGCAGGGGAGGGGGGAGGAAGGCTTTGGAGCATTCCAGGCCTCTGAAAGGGATATCTTGTGTCTCGGTTTGCATCTTGTGCCTGATGTGCTTTCCGGTGCCTTAATTGTTTTGTCATGTCATTTGCTTTTGTCTTTTTTTAAATTAATGACGAGTCTATATAACCAAAAGAAAAGGGATAGTGTCTTACTTTCTAGTGCAACAAACAAATCCAGGTGATTTAAAAAAAAAAGAATCAGAAGAAGCAATATTAGAGATATTATGTTGCAATGAGAGGTGCATCCTCTCAGAGCCACCATCTTGGCTCAAAACCCAGGCCCTGTGGTGTGACTTTGAGCCAAGACGGCTGTATGGTAAGTGGAAATTGCTGCAGAACAAGACACAGCTGGCCTGACTGCGTCTATAGCACTTGAAGGGAGTGGAATTCCATGGGAGGGAAAAGAGTTGTTGGGAGAGGGGCTCTGCTGAAGTAGCCACACTTTTGAGCAATCAGGAGGCTTATGCGACTAGTTGGGATGAAATTGATTCAGTCTGCATCTAGGAGTTCTTTCTTGAAATTGTCTGGGCTGGCTAGCAGGCTTGTAGAACAGCTTTTGGATAGCTTGTTTGCCAGGCCCAGTGGTATAGACGTGTGTTGTCAAGGTCCAGAAATGGCTTCCTAGATCAAGGAGGAAGGGAGAATTTGGTATCTGGAAGAGTGGGTCATCAGCATTCAAGGTCTCAGTGCATTTTCTCCTCATAGCACAAAGAGTAGGAGTCTAGGCAGCATTTGTTTAATCACAACCTGTGTCTGACGTTCTGAAGGCGGACAGACAGGCAAGATAGAAGAGAAAGGGAAGGAAACAGCAAATCAACTGCTGCAGTGTCAGGAATGGTGGGGTTTGTTAAAGAAGTGTCTCTGGCCAAACAGGATCAGCTCCCCATAGAGTGTTGAAGATAGAGGTAGAAATTGTGTAGAAAGAGTGAGAGTTAGTGAAGACAATGAGAAATGATGACTTACCAGAGTAAGAAATCTGTCCAGTTAAGAGAAAGTAGGAATGAGCAGTCCATTGCCTAAAGCAGGAGTTCCCAACCGGGGGTTCATGAACCCCTTAGGGTTCATGAGGGTAATACAGGGGGTTTGTGAGATTGAAAATGTCAATGTCAATTAAATAGTCCTATTAATAAATAACAATGTAATAATAAGAATAAGAAAAACAACAGTAGGAATATTAATATTTTACAAAGTGAAAAAAAGCGTGTTAAGAGGGTTGCTGTAGCATTTTTCTACATTTATTGAAAGTGGGTACTTGGGACAAATGATTTAGGTTGAAGGGGTTCAGCTGACTAAAAAAGTTGGGAACCCCTGGCCTAGAGCAAAAGAACAGTAATGTGATGCATGGAAAAGTGGAAGAGGTCCACTCAGTCCTTCGCAGAAGTGGACCAATGATAGAGCTAGGATCTCGTAGAGCCTCTGAAAGGTAACTAGAGAAGGCAGCCAATAAAAGCTCCATCAGATAATTACATGACTGACTATATCAAAGCTGTTTGATAGCTTGTAATTAATTGATCCAAGAATCTCCTGAACTCAGAAGGCACTCCAGACTTAGGACTCAGGTATTTTCCGTCATAAGCGTTTACTGTCACACCACCATATTGCTTAAAAAAGTTTTTTTTTAAATCTCTTGTAGCAGATTCTCTCGTTAGGTAGCTTGGTTGTGTAAGATCCAGTACATAAACCCGTATTTTCTCCTCGTAAACAGGAAGGGTGTTTTGAGTTTAGGTTATATCAAGTTTGTATGTATTTTACCCTTCCTACCCGAGTTCGGTCCTTAATCTCGGCTGTTCCACTTTCCCATCTAGATCTTAAAAAATATTTTTTAAACCACCGGCGGATGGTCAGTGGCCCAAGGTCAAGCTGTGAGTCTGCTGACAATCGAACACAGAAATCAGGGAGTTTTAAGTTCCCTGGTTAAGATTATCAGACTTAACCATTCTCTTTAGGCAGCATTAGTTGTGTCTTACCCCAGACATTACCATTCTACCTCCCTGGGAGCAGATGCTCTCTTTCTGCTTTAGTTCTCTTTTAAAGTGTGAGAAATAAGCTTACAGCAGGTGCCGCGGATCTCTTTAACTGTGTGGGTTGCGCACTGAGGCTTTCCTTTGTTTCTGGAGTGTTTATGCATAGCCCTCAGTGATCTGAGCTGAGCTTGTCTCTCCAGATTCTTCTGCTGTGTCAGAGTTTTTTGGCTCTCTACTGGTGGAGCTTTTTCTCAATGTAAATGAGAAAGTTACAAGAGAGATGAGGCCATTTGACCTGGATAACTCGTTTGGTTGCTAGTAGCACATTGCTTGGGGGCTGTCATCCAGCCATTTCCTTAAGGAAGCCAGGATTGTTGTTTCAACAACATGTCTGGTTTCTTTGCTTCTGAATCTCATAACCCTTAGTATAAATATACAGCTCCTTTCATTTTCTTAAATTAACTTCTCTCTTGTTTCCACTCCAATTCATATTTCACTATGGACCTAGAGTCCATTAAATTGACTCTGCCTTTGAGAACTCTGAAAGGCTTTTAGCCTTTGTTGTACAAGTTTGAATTGAGCCAGTTCTCAATTTTTTCAAATTAAAATGCTCTTTGTAAGAAAAGTGAATGTGATCTACAAAATGTTTCCCAAAGGGGCAAAGTGAGCCATTATGATAAACCTAGTCAAGATCTTTATCACTAACTGTCCATCCATCTAATAATGCACTAAATCAAAGACTAACATCATAGCTAAGTTACATGTACAATGAATATTGACTGCATTATGGACTATTGCCCATTGACTTGAAATCAATGCATGATAATTTACTGACTGTTCTCATTAACAAGTAAATCTAGAAATATAGAAATCAAACAATTACAGACCACATTCTTTACTTAACAGTACGTACAGAAGAATACAGAATGTCGTACACCAATAAAGTTACTGAATTTTGATTACATTAGTGCAGTGAGACCAGCATCATTATTTAATAATGACTACAACATTTACCAAAGTATAATGGATAATTATAGATATAATAGCTTTTATCACACACACAGTTGAAACATGTTGAGGTACATGTATGCAACTATAATCAAATTGGCAATAATTTCAGCATGGGTTTAGGAAAAAAGCAAACTTCTGACTTTTAGACATTCGAAGTCTAAGAAGGCAATTTGTGTTGATGCTCATAGGACTGGGTTATAAATATGTTTTGAGTGCTTGAGATTATGGAGATGGTGGATGTAATATGATTCTTTTGAGGTTCTCATGGGGCACGAGAATGAATATCACACAAATAACATACAATGTCTGCTTTAGAAGAGAATAGCATAAATTGTATTGAAAACAATGTTTTTTTTAAATTTAAGGATCTTCTGACTTCATGTAATGCAGTTGTCTTGGATCAACAATCTCTGTTCATTACAACTTCATCAAAATTATTTTCAGTTTTTTAAAACCAAAACAGGTGTGTAGATGCAAATAAAATATTTGGCATATATACAGTATAAGGCTCCTGATGACCACAAACACCTTTCCTTAAAATAGAACTTTAAAGGTATGAAAATGTAGCCTTATTTTATCACGTTTTGCAGACACACAGACTCGGAGCACAAGGTTAACCTGAAGATTCTCATGTTGGTCTTTTAATTCCAACACGACCAAGACATTCTAAAAATAGCCAGGGATTTAGAGGGAGGAGGGAAAGGAAATCAATAGGAAACCAATAAGTTTTATGAAAACGTCCCCACAGTGATAGCCTGTGCCCTGTGAAGGACTGTGATTAACTACACAGCACTTGGGAAAGATCACAGGCCTTTAAGATGAAAGGTCAGTGGGGTGGGATTCTGTTTTATTTTGAGTTTTTGTTTTTTGTCCTGCATTATGTTTGTTTTTTGGTGGGGTGGAAGGGGGCATCCCCTTGCAGTTTAGAGTTAACTATTGGCCATAGAACTGAAAACCTGGCCTTCCAGCCGCATAAACCCAAAGCACATGTGTTCAAGCTTGCTGGCTACTTTTTTGTTTACCAAGAAAAGTAGGAAAAAACATGGAAGGAGGGAATCCATATTTAACTTGGAAATAAAAAATAAAGACAAAGAACTTGACAATTAGGCAGGAAGGATACCATGGTCAACCATAAGGAACAGGCCTGTCAAACTCTCTTCCTGAAGTGCCTAGTGGTTTTTCTTCGAACCTCAGTAATCAGCTACAAACCTAATTATTTCCTTCATCGGATATATGCAGATATAGACAAATAAACGAGACAAAAATACCAAGAGCGTGCTTTGGCTTTCATGCTTCAACTGCGCTGATGCCTTAGCATAGACTCAGAGGTATCCTGGACAGATTTGCTGGAAAGCTAGAGAGGAATTGCAGCTCATATTGTGGCTGTGTTGCAAATCCAGGGGAATAAGTTGTGCTTTACAATGTGACATCCTGCGAGAAATAGCCGATTTCCAGAAACAGGAAGGATAGCCAGGTGCCATGTGTTATCAGCTGCGCAATTAGAGTAAATGAATCGATGTTATGCGTTCCTGATGTAGAGACCACTTTCCATATGTGGTGCAGGAAAAGGCACTCAGGAATCAGTGCCTTCATCCAAGATGTACCGAACAGCTTTAGAGCTCTCGATTTTTCTTAAACTGAACGGCAGACAGCTGTGATTTGTTTTGTATTAATTATGGCTCGGGAAATTTCTGACTTTAAAGTTAAGTTCTTACCGGTCTATGCAATGAGCTAAGGCACAACTCGATCAGTTGTCTACAGTATGTGGGAGTTTAAAAAAAAAGACAGCTGTAATCTTGTACACCAACCACTATACCCTTGATTTGAAACAGGGCCATACCTCTGAAGTGTAGAATCTAACGTTGAAACAGATCAAAGCTGTAATGTGAACGTTGTCTGTGCTGCCCCTCGTCTGATGAGTAATTTCTGCACTGCGATTTTATGAAAAATAGTCACTTTGTTTCTCATTTTGTCAGTATAATCCTGTTTTTATAGCATGTTTTTGAAACATGCAGTTTAGCCACGTTATAACGAAAGAACTTGAATGCTACAGACAGAACACTTATCGCTGTAATTAACCTTTTTGTACTCAAATGTTATGTTTAATGCTTTGCAGTGAGACCTGTGTTCTAAGTAACATTGATTATGAAAACAGTAAAATTATACCAAAGGTCAAATACCGAAATTGTGTGTGAGCATTGTAAATGCAATGGCTTCATTTGTATGCTTTTATAGATCTGATAACACAGGAGGTGCTCAGTTTTATCTAGTCCTGGCCTGTGAATGCATAACATCTGACTACTTGACATACATTAGAATTCCTGGACTGCACATTTTTGATTGGTCAGACAAGCATTAATTTGGCCAGGTGTTGTAGCACTCAAACACTCAAAAGAAACATGACAGTCAGGACAGAAGCCGGTTTTTCAAAGCACTTTGTGAAAAACAATGTTCGATTAACTTAGTTTAATTTTGCTGTGTATTTTTTTTAACCAATTCTGAAAATCCTTTACCATGTACTATTTTATAGCACAGTTTATCTGCAGCCAGATTTAAGCAGCTAAATGTGTGAGGACACATACAGTATAATGACACATACTGTATCACTAGAATTGCAATGGGCGGTTCACCTCTACTCTCACATGGCTTCTGCAATAGCGTGCTGTGAAAATGAATGTTCCTCCAGTGCAGTGTTATGTAATCCCAGCTGCAGAAAACTACTTTAATTGCATCATGATGTAGTGAGGTTCACTTCGTCTGCACGACGGCGAAGCGCTGAATTTGCTACTATCAATCACAGAGCTTTAGCAACCTCTTAATGCTCTATGAGGAAAAAGTAAGTTCCTTTAATATGTGCATTGCTTTTAGATTATTGCTTTTCAAGGTGTTATATAGAATTGTTAGATTACATTTTGTAAGAACAATGTTTATGGTGTGCTTTCATTATTGTAGAGTTCATTTAATCATATAATGGAGAACATGTAAATCTCTGTAGTCTTTTCCCTGTACTGTGGTCTGTGATTCCTGTACAAAAAGTTGCCAGAGAGATACATTAGATGCTGTAGGTGTGGGCTAATATTTTGATATCATCATCATTTTAGATTAATAACTTGTAGATGCAGGACGACAAAACCCACAGAGTGATTTCTATATATTGGATACTCTGAGATTATTAGAAGAATTCAGATGCCCCCTTTTTTTTCAAGAAGTAGAACTGCAGTGTGAAAGAGGCAAATCGTAACGCCTGCAGAAAAACAGCCTGCGTTTTATTTTGTGTTTGTCAGCAATTGCAAACTTACGTAAAGTCAAACTTGCAATAATAAGCATTTTTTTTTGCTTTAAAAAATATATGAAAAAAAAAGAATTCAACTGGCAGCCCTAATTCATCAGCCAGGCGATAGCAGGATCAAGACATTTTTTTTATTTTACAAATTCTTTCTTTTTATCACATGGTAAAAACACCTGAAAGGGGCAGAGCCAGATAATTCCCAGTGCATACATTCTAAAAATGCTCATGTTAATTCTAGTAGAATCACAGAAAGGAGTGGTTTAGAGTCATTTTATGTCCTAATATCAACATTTTATATTTCATGAGACAGTGTTTTCAGCAGTTTATAGTGATTAGTATTGTAAAAGATATAAATTAAATTACTTCCATAAAATAATCCTGTGTTCCTGTTGTACTTGAGTTATTATTGTAGGCTTGCTTGGCACATGGCCTTATCCAAGGCCACATGCAGAGCAAGCTATGGTACAGTTATAAAAGTGTGCAAAGAAAAGTGTTTCATTACACTGCAAACATTAGTGGTAAATCTGGGCCCTCTGTCACTTGTCCTGAAGCTAAATCACAGTACTGCACAGGAAATGAACTGTTTAGTGTATGAGCAGCTCACAAAACACCAGGGTATAAGTCTGTCCATATTTTCCATCCAGATAAGGTGTGGTTTCACTGTAAAGTGAATGTCTGTTTTTACTGGCTTCACTGTACATTCGGAGTATTTGTCATAAATACCTACTTTTATCACTGTATTAAACATCCGGGTCACGGTGTCAAAGATATGCTTTTGGGGGTTGTAAAGGATTCAGATAATTAAAAGAAGCAGCATGCCTTTGTCTAAAACGGGGATAGAAATTGCACTTCTGTTCTGATAGAATTTAAAATATGCTTTCTTGCAGCCTTTTGATAAATGTCCAGATTTTCAGTCCTCTGTAACTATTCAAAAGCTCCTCTGGAAGCAAATGTAAAAAGGATAATGAGGTATATGTCGTGTGTGTGTGCGTCAGAAACAGTCTTGTACAGTATATGTACACTATGTACTTTATTTCTTCTGGTTGGGAGTTGAGAGTTGGACTTACTCCTTAAAACTGTTTAAGATAATAGTACAGCAATAACTGTTAAGGCAAATAAAAAGATTAATTTATGTTCTTCTTTTTCTGTTTTTCCCCCCTGTATGAATCAGCTATTCCCGGGATGATAGTTCCTCCAATGTAGAAGATTTGTGTACGAAGAACAGCAGGAATTTGAAGAGACGAATTGGTGTAACTCCGGAATCGAGCTCACTGGCGAGAAGTGGAACTTTTAACTCAGGCCTTTTCAAAAGGAATCACATTAAAAAAAAGGAAAACGAACAATTGCAGCAAGTTTTTTTTTAAAAAAAAATCTCTAGACCTTGTAGAAACCCGTGAGAAAGGGGATACAAGGATGGAGCTGACATTTTAAGCCCCATATGTACATGTGGGACTAATATTTATTCTTTCTGAGGAAAAGATCTGCTTTTCCATTTTTTTTTTCTTGTATGGATTTTAATTTCAGCAATCATATGCCTTTTTTATAAACTGTAACATACACCCGGGACACTATATGACAGTTGTGTGTTTATTTATGTTTATAAAAGCAGTGCATGTGGAAAAAGGGGGAAAGATGGTTTTAGTGATAGTGAAGGGGAAGATAGTGGACATTTTCAGTAGAGACTAGGGCCTGTAATGGAATTGTAACCTTTTAAAAAAGTAAGGGTCACCTGTCACAAGCCTTTTAGCCACCTAAACCAGAAAGCAGGTACAGCATTTAGTATGTTAAATAAATGCTCTAAAAATTGCTTCAATAGCCAGGTAAGACAAAGACTCTTTTCTTCTAGAAAATTAGATCCCTAAGATTCTTGGTGCACACAGTGATGTAGTAACCGCAAGTGCTAGACTCGTCTTCCCCCTAACAGATTGTTCCTCAGATGTATTGCTGTTATTCCCTCCATCAGAAAGCCGGTATTTCTGGCGTGAAAGTCGCAGCACAAGGCACTAACCCGGGCTGCGGACTGGCCAATTTCGAGACCCAGTTAATCTCAACAGAACGATTATTTAATATGATTTTAACAGCCTGCAGACAGACTGGGTGTTACATTCTCGTTCTTTCTTTTTTAAGATAGCGTGCTAGGTGTCGTTCATGTTCGTCAGCCTGCGGGAACAGTACATTCATACAGTGTGGGAATGACACATGGAGTGCGCCTTTGTCAGCGGTGAAGCCGACGCCGGCACCGCAAGGCACTCTCCGCCTCCTGCGGCCTCGGGGTTAGTGTGAGCGCCCTTGCGGCCTCTCCGCTCCCGGAGTCCCGCCGCTTCGCCCGCTGCCCTGCCTTCGATTCGGTTTTAAACCCGGACTCCTAGCACTTCCGGTGGATCTACTGTGCGTGACAAGAACGCCCGCCCCCAGAAAAAACAACAACAAACTTACTCGATCAAACGAATAATTATAACAGGTGAAATTATAAACTCGAATTGGAATGAAAAGACCTTGATGTACAATATTTTTGCTGCTACCCAGTGCAGGAATATCAATGAAAAAAATGTTTTCAGGGGATTTGTTGCCATTTAACTTCCATGATATATAATTTAGAGCTTTTATATTTTTAGTCGTTTGCAGATGACTTTTGTTAAATGTGATGCTGTTTTTTTTTATATAAGATCGTGACCGTGTGAGTTGGCCTTTACTTTTCTGCAGCTTATTATGTCTATAATAAGACAACCCAGCGAGGGAAATGAAAAAAAAAACAACCTTTTGTGGGATTTTTTCAGCCATCTTCGAGTGAAAATGAAAGGTTTCTTGGTGTTTGTGAAGGAGCAGAGGCTTCTGACATGACGAATGACTGAATTTTTAACCAGCACTGTATTCAACGGCTCTTAAAACATGTCAGAGACCCAGCAAATATCACAATTGTTTCTATGTAGTTGTTGTTTTTAATTTTGTATGTAGTTACGAATATAGTATTTGGTGACTTTATTTTTTTTTTGCCAAAGTCATTGTTGAAATCTATTTATACATTTTTAATGTCTTAAGGCAGCTTTTTCAGTATTGTGTCACAGATGTTTTCATTTTTACTGCGTGTTAAAGATCTCGCCGCCCTTAGCTTCGAATACAGCAATGAAAGAAATTAAAACCTAATTAAAACTAAAACGTGATTTTGGATATAAAAGGGGGAAATTTTGTAAAATATCCATATAAATAATGTATTTATCTCTGGAATTTGTACATTGTTCTTCTCCCCTATCTTATTTTTAAGTGTGTATGTTTTTGCTACGTGATAAAAGTGCCGACTCGTTTAGTTTTGTCATCCTCGATTGTTCTCGCTGTTTAAATGTGACTTTGATGTTATTTTCACTTGTACTTTTTGTTTTTTTTGTATTGTTTGAAAAGCCATGCTTCCATTTTTTTATTTCCATCCAAAACAAAAGCCATTGTCTATTTTTGTATTATTTGTAAGTTAACAAAAATGTTATGTTTTTGTTCCTTTTGATTTTTTTTAAATTGTATGGCAAAAAAGTAGCATCTTATTCGGATAGTATTTAGTTATGTAGATTTTTAAAATATATAAATATATAAATATATATCTTTTTTGTTTTGCTTTTGAGGCTTTACAGAAACTGATACTGTTTTAACCTAATAATATGCATGGGATCTCTTCCTGTTGGAGTGATGGTTGCATTTTGTGCATTGAAAATAGGGAGACCATTTCAGAGGAAAAAATATGAAAATACTTTCTTTCTTTTAACTGTTTTCCCTTTATTCTTTTCATTATTTATGCCTGCCTGTCTGTCTCTTCTGTTTTCTTGTTTTATTTTTTTTCTCTTTCACCGACTTGTGAACCAGCAGAATTGGATGCCTTAACAATGCAAAATCATGTCCATTAGCTCACCTGTACATTTTAAAAATGCACCCCAACTGTCATCACAAAATATTTAAACAAAATGAAATGCAAGGAGTTTTTCGTAAAGAAAAAGCACAAAATTTTTGTTACCTTGAGAGATGTTTACGTGTGTTTTGAGTCGTGCTTTGAGCTCACCAGCGTGTGTCCAGCTCAACAAGATGTAGGAGATTGGCGTTTCTTTTCAACTGGGAGTTTTGGGGGGTGGGGGGGGTGGAGAATGATTTCACAGATAGGAGGTCGATTCATACTTACTGTGTGTTGTGGCGTGGGGATTGGGGTCATTACGTTTAAGTGAAACCTGTCCTTTTTTACTTTTTCTTTTTGTTATTGTCAGGTTAACAAAGACAAAACTAAAAGCCATATTTCTTGTCAGAAAAAGATGTATGCCCCAGCACTGGCCAATATAAACAGTCCCCTAAAGCAAAACAAAGGACTATTTGTGTGATTTCTGACTTTCTACATGATCACGTGGAGTGTTTGCTGCACAGGAGTTTGGGGGGAAATAATGGAATCTGTGTAATTAGTCAAGTAACTACTTTTCCTTGGACTGCGATTACCCTGTAGTTATCAGCCACATTCCCGAAACCCTATTTTATTTTAATCCCTTGCATTGAGAGGCTTTGTCATTCTTTTTGATTGTGGCTGTTGGCTGATTCCGCTGATTCTCGCGGTTTTCATTTGACCGAAGGCTTCTTCCTAAAAACTCTGACTTCTCCTTTTCCTATATGGGAGGTGGCCCAAACCAGATTCCATAAGGAATGCATGTACTGCCTTTTAAAGACTGGTATTAACCTGGTCTGCCAAAGGACAATATGGCTTTTTTCTTTCCTCACATGAGATGTTTTAAGAGCATCAGTTGCCATTACAGGAGGGGACCACTGTAAGGCCCCCTCAGTTGCACACTCGTGTTTGTATTGCTTTGATTTTTTTTTCTAAAAAAAAAAAGATTCAGGTTTTACCTTGTAATGGCTTAATTGGCAGAGAAGTATCGTCCTCACCGTGCAGATTGGCAGAAGATCAAAGATAGGTTCTGTAAAAAAAAACTACAAAAAAGCTGGTTGCTCTTTTTTTTTTCTTTTTCTTTCCAAATCTGTCTTTGACTAGACACACACTGAACAGTTGTATTCATAGGGAAAAGAAAAAAAAACTACTGTATAGATTATGATTTTTGATGAACTTTGAGCTGTAAAATAACTTTTCAACTTTCACAATATTTAATTAAAGTTACTTCTTGTCTGTGATCTCGTTGATGTCTTTCCGTTTCATTTTCATGTGCAGTCTGGGGTGAGGTGTCAGTGGAGCACAGATAGAGCACAAGATTTGGTATGAGTGGTAATATTCTCCTTATTGATTATTCCCTTGCTGAGGGGAACTGCCTTTCTGAAATGCAGAAGCAGAGTGGTGTAATAAAAGGGCATAAAATAAGGCATTTTCGTGAGTATTGCATTCCTCATGCAAGGATATTGCACTCCTCAAGCGACTGCATTGCACTCCTCATGCAGGGACATTGAGCTGCTCAAGCAACGATATTGCTTTCCTCAAAAGCAGCAGCATTGCACTCCTCAAGCAGGACCGTTAAGCTCTCCAAGCAAGAGCTGGCAGCACTGGAATGTGCACTGTATCTCAGATGTCCTCACACGAAGATCCGGTTATTGCTCATTTTAAGATGATTAATCCTGCCAGGTCGCCCCCCTGTAGCATGATGTGTAACACTATTGCCTCACAGCTTCTGGGCCCCCAGCTGGGTCTTGGATCTGATTCTAGCCCGTCTGTATGGAGATCGCCACCTCATTCCTCTGCCCTGTGGAGGGTGAGGGCTCTGGTGGCTCACAGGGTGTTTTCTTTCAAGAGAGGCACCCAAAGTTCACTTTACGAGCTTCCTGTCCCCAGAGAGGCACAAGAACCCCATACCATTTCTCCTCCCTGTCCTGTCAGTATTGTAGTATGGGTCTGAAGGCCATCATACAGAAGCTGGCTGCTAGTCCTCTTGAAGAACATCCATGTGGTGACGTCTAGTTCACCCTCACTGTTGCCATTAACAAGTACAGCAGAAGCCACAGAGAAAGGTGCATCCAAAACTGGCCTTCAGTTGCAAGAGCTGGCAGACTGGCATGGGCATATTTCAATACAGTTGGCGCTCAGCTGCATACAAATCTTATGTGGCTCCTAAGCACGGAAAAGGGTGAAGATTTTGTGTGGCCAAGATAAATTTGACACACCCTCTCAGAGTGGTTTCCAGAAAGAAAACAGTAGAGGCTGAATTACCTGCATGAAACTGTTTGGATTAACCCAGCTCAAAAAGAATGCGCTGTGTGCAGTCATCACTTATTTGCCCCAAGTCTGCTATTGGTTTTAATGTGCACCACATGTGCCATCATATAGGAAAGTTGCTGTCGAGGAACAGCAATTAAAAATTGCCCTTCTTCATTTCAACCTGAAATACACCCCCCCTGAAAAGGTTTGTGTTTTAATTAGGCTGATTCATTAATGTATTGCACCTAGTAGCAACATGAATATGCCCACTGAGTTTCCTAACCATATTAATGATGGTTTTCGAGTTATTAATTAAAATGCATTTCGCATGTAATTGATTCATCATTTGCATTTACGGTCATCAGCGAAAACAATCATTCCTTCCCGCTCGTTTAAATCACGCCGGGCAGATGTGCCGGATGAGCTTGCAAAGGTGCAAAAGCAGAATCTGGCAGCTGGGACCGAAGGCGACTCTGTATGTCGCCTGAAAAGTGCCAAGGAGAAAGTTTTTGTTGCCTCGCCTTGCAGAAGCGCATCAATGAATCATTAAATCATTTAGGTCCCAGGCAGTGGCTATGAAGCGAGGATTCCTGCATTGCATGATGGGGCAAGGTGGTTAAAAGGGACGAAAATCTTGATTTCTGAGCAGCGGGGAAAGTTGTTGCCAGATTCTCCTGGCCGGGCGTTTTTTCTCAGCACGACTAGGGCAAACGCCGTGGAAGGGGCAACCCCACGGAGGGCAAAACAGAGACCCTCGAGATTACAGCCCTCACAGGCCCCGGTTACACTGCTCCTCCGGCGCAGTGAAATTGCCTCTCCAGACAGGATCACGGCTCCTCCAGGCGAGCTGCTGCTCAGGTGTGAGTGACTTTCTTCCTTTTATTAAATCAATTAAGCGAAGTGGCGGGTGGGGGGGGGGGGGGAGAGGGAAAAAACAGCCTTCCCCTGTTTATTTTCACTCCTCTCTTACTGTTGTTTGGCAGAAGCGCCACATGGGCACAGCAGGTGACACGCGCAGCAGTATCAGAAAATGGCAGAGGAGGAGAAGTGACAGGGTTTTAGACATCCATTAGCTAATGGATTACTGAGCCAGGCAGGACCCCACGACAACCCCCCCCCCCCCCCTTGCACTTAACCTCAAATATCTGCTTTGAAAGTTAAAGATTACAAGTTGATGCTCCAGACCTCCCCCCTCTCTCACTCGCGCTCTCTCAGAAGCCCAGGGGAGAACGACTCACTCACTAATGCAGCAGGGTGATTGATAGATGACTAAGTGAAGATATCATTTAGTAATCATGGATCTGCGACTATTTATCCTTGCTGACACGGGGGTCGTTAGGCATAGAGCGTGCTTGACCTACCCTTTCAGCTCTCTTATGAGGCTGTCACTTTGCGCAGATAAGGGGACAGCAGAGGGTTAATGAGAGAGAAAATGCATGCATGTGATCTACTTACTCCTCAAAGGAGAGGATGCCTTCGTACACAGCGAGAGGCAGCGAACTGTGTCGCTGTACACGAGAGTGCCTAGACCCCGGTCTCTCCCTGCTGCTTCCCAAGATTGATGAGGCAGAGCCCTCACATCTCAAAGAAAAGCATCTGATTCCAGCAGTATCACTTCAGCTCTGTCACCTGGTCTCCTGCTCCAGAGGCACCCAGTGTGTAATGAATGATGCAGTCAGCTTTGAACCGAGAAAGAACATTTTTTTCTTCCTCCAACAAGTGCGTTTGGCTGGGTGATTCATTACGGCGCGGTTATAAATGGCCCTGCTGGTTTGTTTTAGTAGCAGTTGTGAAATGATGGCATCTGGGCTTTTAAAACGTGTTTTAAAGTAAAGAAAGGGAAACAAAATAGCCATTAGGATACGTGAATACTTTTGTCTTGGCTCAGAGACCTAAAAAGAAACAGTTTGGGACTCGTAGCCAAAGAGTCTTAAACAAGTCGGATGTGTTTTACGCTCCGTGGCTCTGAAGGGTGAATGACTGAATGACGATGCCCTGTCTGCACCTCTCCTCCCTCTCGGAGCCTCCGACTCTCGGCTGGAAAATCAGCAACCAGGAGAGCGAAAGTGAAGATGAGTTTCTGGGAGCGCCTGCTGCTCGCCTGTCTGTTTTTAGCAGGTTTTTCATTTGCTCCCAAAGAGCAGAAGAGTGCAGAAGGTACAGACAAACCCCAATAACGCAATTGCAGTGTTTTTTATTATTATTTTAATTATTATTATTACTGCTTACACTTATATAGCGCTTTTCTGGACACTCCACTCAAAGCGCTTTACGGGTAAT